CATTTGTCCTGGGAGCAAGAAGCATGACATCCTAGACTACGAATTAAAAAGAACAATTCAGCATGCTTCTTGCATCACTTGCAAAGTGATGCAATCTAGAGGTTACCTAAGAGTTGGCCTAATGGAAGCTTAGAGCCCGCTCCTGTAATGATGAGTTTGCACTAGAGAACAAACTGCCTCCTCAGTGTATAAGGCATTTAATATCTTTGTGTTTTTATTTCACAACTATAAAATGCTGTTAATAAAGTCTATAACCTAGAGCTTTTGTGAAGATTAGGGTATAAGTATCTGTAAAAGACTTAAAACTGCCATGCACAGAGTAATTACATAAACTTAAGAGAAGGCAAGATGTAAACCACATTCCACCTTGACCAAACACATTTGTTGTTTTTCTTTCTAAATTCCCAGAAATCTCTAAGACAATTGTAAGTCAGATTTTAGTAAGAACAATGTTGAAAACCACAACATAAAAAGGTAGGGTCTTTAAATGCGTAAAAAAGACCAGTAAATCATTTTCTAGAATTTGTGTTTAAATATTCTTGTTCAGGCCAGGAGATTCAAAGGAAACAGTAACATCACTGTAAAGTCAATGGGGACATCAGAAAACTGCCATAGCAGTAATATAAATCTTATAACACTGCATTCACCATTTCCCTAGGGAATGGCTACTTTCTTACCCTGGGCAGCTATGGTGGCCAGACCAAAAGACACACTATGTCATCCAAAAGACACAATGTGCACAGCACAGATGGCCTGCCAGCTTTTCATGGGCCTCCATTTGGGACCTGAAAAGAAACATTTTTGTGGTACTGGGGTTGAACTCTGGGCCTTGGGCTTGCTAGGCAGGCCACTACCACTTGAGCTATACCTCCAGCCTGAAAAAATAAATTTTGAGCCTCAGAATATGAAAGAAGAAAAAATTTAATATTTTCTTAAATGTCTACAAAATTCAACATGACAATTTCAACAAAAATGTTGACTTTAAGCTGAACATGGTAGCTTGTGCCTATAATCCCAGCTACTCAGGAGGCACGGCGATCAGAAGGATCTCCAGCCAAAAGTTAGTGAGACCCCATTTCAACAAAAGATCCAGAATGTGGGAGGTTCGGGTAGGAGGACTGCGGTCTCAGGCCAAACTGGACAAAAATGCAAGACCTTATCTGAAAAATAGCTAAAGCAAAAAAGATTGGAGGTAGCTCAAGTGGTGGTGTTCTAGTCTAGCGAGTGGAAGGCCCTGAGTTCAAACCCTAATACCACCACTAAAAACAAACAAAAAACCTCAAACCAAGTGGAATTTAACACTTTGACTCTTGCATATTTGGGTACCAAGAAATAATAGTCTTTGCTGGGTGCTGGTGGTTCACACCTGCAATCCTAGCTACTCAGGAGGCAGAGATCAGGAGGATCGAGGTTTGAAGCCAGCCCAAGCAAATAGTTTGCAAGACCTTATCTCAAAAATACCTAACCCAAAAAGGGCTGGTGGAGTGGCTCAGGTGTAGGCCTTGAGTTCAAGCCCTGGTACTGCAAAAAAAAAAAAAAAAAAAAAAAAAGAAAGAAATAATAGTCTTTAATCACATACTTAAAATTCAAATGACTCAACTCTTTCCCCATACCTGTAAGAATGAAGTGTGGAATACGGGTGTATTCTGATGTTTACCTGAGAGCACCAAGGCCTGGAGAGGTGGGGAAACCTGCCTGAGTAGAAAGATTTTAAGAGGATCCTGGGCTCTACAGGTCTTGTCACATTCTTTTCCCAGCTAATTGCAAGCTTTCATCATAAACACTGTTACTCCAGCACAGTGTAAAGACTGATGGGAGGACTTAATCTGTCACTTCCACCTAATGCGGGGCTCACACATGTAAACGTGCTGCAGAACCATCTGGAACCTCCCACTCCAGGTTCCATGGTAGGCGAGGCTCTACCACTTGAACCATGGCCCAGACCTTTTGTTTGTATTTTGTTTTTGATATAAGGCCTCACTAACTTTGCCTGGGCTGGCCTTGAACTAGAGATTCTCCTGCCTCCACCTCCTGAGTAGCTGGGATTGTAATGTACCAGCATGCCTGGCCTTTTTTTATGGGATATTTTTGGGGCTCCAGAAATCAGAATTTCTGCTTCAGTCAATTTGGTGTAAAGCCCAGGAATCTTCATTTTAACAGTTGAAGCATTTAGATGTAGGTGACCCGTGGGCCACATTTTGGAAGCAGTACTCTTAGCAAAATGGATTTTCAGAGGAAGAGGAGAAGAAGCTGGTTGGATAACAGAAGGGCTTCTGGGAGAGACCAAATTAAGAGTAATGGCCAGGTTTGACGGAGGTCAACCTTGTGTAGGACATCTTCAAAAGGTTCTGGTGTGGCCCCAAATCCCGTATCCTCTATGACAGGACTTCTTGCTCTCAAATGTAATCAAGTGTTTCCAGTGTTCACCACTGCTCAGAGTAAAATGTCCACCTCCATTTGTAAAGGAACATTTCATTTGTTTGTACATCCCAGCATTATAGCATCCAGACTGGAAACTAGAAGGACAAGTGAGTGCCATGGTGACACTTTTACAGGAAGAGGAACAGTGCTTGCAGAGGCTGCCTTGCCTACACACAGCCACACACCTGGGACCAGCTCTTTGTTCTGGCAGTTAAATTGGTGCTTTTCCCTCAACCTTTACAAGGCAAATTCGTGTTCCTTTTGCATTGGCATTTATGATTAATCTTTTGAGCACATTGCTAGTGTGACTCTCCAGGCTGAGTAGTAACCTTTCCAGTCTGATGGGAGGGTTTAGTGCAGTAATTGGGAGCACAACTTCAAATCATGTTTATCCAAATCTATGTTACTGGCTCAGTCAAGGGTAAGTGCCTTAACTTCTCTAGCCTCATTCATAACATGGGGAGAATCCTACATCACTGGTTGCCTCAAGTTTTCTAGTGTAAAATCAGTCAGATAGCTGATGTTCTGTTGCTCGCGCGCTTGTGTACATTCTCCAAGGGCCAAGCCAGATTTTGTGTGATATCTTTCACCCAGGGTGGCCAGAAGTGAATTCTATTTCACTCATAGCCCCTGATCCTGCTCGGGTGTGGCCTGCTGAGATGAGCTTAGCTTGGCTCCCTAGAAGTAAATGGTTCAAAGGGAATGGTGATTATACCAGGCTTTCCACCAAGCAATCATCCCGTGGCTATCAAAAAATTTTTGTTTAACATCCTGGTGGAAGGAAGCAGAGATAGCAGTGGTCTCAGAATTTATATTTGCCTTGGGATAATTTCTATGACATCTGGGGGTGGGTAGCACATTTTTTTTCAGGATTATTTTCTGCACAGGTGACGACTAAAATTTATGTTCCTAGTGCTTGCAGGCTGGGAAGCTGACTGAGAGGCCTGAGGATTTTTCATGGATTGAAGGAATACTGCATGCTCAGCAAGCTCATACTGAAATGGGACATTAGCTTTGATTTTCATTTGTCAAATGTGTGACAAGCCTTTGCTATTTTCTCCAAAGCCTGGAGAGTTTGTCAGACTCTCCTCCATGTTGTGTGATCCAGCAACCACAAGGCAGTAACTTCCACAGTGAGGCCACTGAAGAGAAACAGACAGTAAGTGGCCCTGCTGACCTGCATTCCTTTTGGGCTGACCACAATAGTCAGTCCTTCACAACCTAGTGAGTATCTTCAGCCAGCTATGATTACTGTAGTGGTAAAAGACTCACCAGTGGTCTGCTCACCATTGGATCTGGTCTCCCTTGCGTGCTGGAAAAGTGCTGAAGCAGGAGTACTTGGTCCAGTCCCTTGTTTTAGAGTACCGCATGGAGCAGAAAGCCTGGAGCCCAGGCTGGGCTTGATGCAGCCCAGGCAGCACTGAGGGGGAAGCAGAACACATCCTGCCTATTAGGCACCGCTTCCTCCTTATACGTTTCCTGACTCTGCTCAGCTTCTGGCCAGACTAGCATGAGGCATTTGAGTCACTCAGTAGAGCAACCATTTGGAGTAGGCCCTAAACAGCTTCCTTTCCAACTTCTGGTTTTATTGGGAACATTTCCCATGGGGCAGTGTGGCCAGGGGAACAAACGTCTATGGCTTTAATCGTGCAGATGTGTCTGGCATCCCTATGCTCTAGTTTCAGCTGTTTGACCTTGGACAAAGGTGTAACCTGGGTCTCAATTCCTTATCTGAGGGATGGAGACGGTCATGGCACCCACACCCCGGGTTCTTATGAGGGCTACAGGAATATGCAGAGGCACATTCTAGGTGTCTAGGAGATGGCACTCAGATGGTTTTCTGCTCATGAATTGCATTCTTTATAACAAAACCCTTCTTTTTGAGAACACATACTTTCCTACCTTGTCTGAGAAGGAAGCAACTGCCAGTCTTGGCCAACACCTGTGACAACACTTGGGGACATCCATACCACGAGAAACCTAACCAGCAATCTAACCACAGGTTAGATCCAGATGGCTCTTTATGTCCAGCAGTGGCACTAATCAAAGGATGGCTTACAACTAAAGAGAACTTGTCTGGGTGTAGTAGCAATGCTTCCCTACCCTGTGGAAGGCAGCTGGGTTCCATTCCCTGCACAGCCCCCCCAAAAAATCAACTTTCTGGGCAAGCTTGAAGATAAGTGATTTAGAACACTTCTTGGGCCACATTAGATCAGAAGCCAAGAAGGAACATGTTTGGGTCCTAATCCAAACACTTGCTCAACTGGGGAACTCAGGTGACTGACGCTAGTCTGATGTCTTTACCAGAAGCTGAGCAGAGTTCAGGAGTGGGTCTGCAGGAGATGACACTTATGGGTAGAACACGTTCCACTTCCCTTCTACCTCTGCCCACTATTTTTTGCCCTCAGGTTTAGCCCAGAGCCGGGATTCACGGTAAGTTGTCAGGCAAGGACCTTCATTAGAGCAGATGGGGCACTTATTGTATGTCCATCAGAGAGGACATACAAAGAAAGTGTACATTGATTTTTTTTCTTTTTTTAGACAGCTCACAGTCTGGTGGAAAGATAAAATGACCAGTCTCTATAAATATTTATTTAAATCACATAAGATTATTCTAAAGCCACAAGCATGATTATTTCCCAATAGAATCAAGAAGATTTTTAGGGTGGCAAATATCTTGTGGAGATTTGAAATGTTTCACCAGTCACGAGTCAATTCCCTGCCTTAGAGGGAATTGATTGGCGTCCTTCCTTTGTGCCTCAATTGGTTGTCACCTATGTATGAAGGTGCTGAGAAGTATATAGGATACTGGCTTTCTACCCTTGTTGGCTCACCATGGTGCTCAATAACCTGCCACTAAACAGCACTTCACTGACTCTCCTTCATCCTTTCCCCACAGAACTATAGCTTTTACTATAGATCACATACTGTGAAACCAAAATTAATGCTATAAAAGCAGGCTGTCTTCTGTCACAACCAAGAGGCAGTGGTGTGGTTGACATCAGAAGGTAAGGGCTGGGAGCTTCCTGAGCGCTGCCCACTGGCCTACTCCTCGTCACACTGGCTCAGTTTGACCAGATGGGTTTTCTCTTTTGGATGAAGGCCTTGATTCCCTCCTGCCCATCCTGCAAGGCCAGGTTGTCCACCATGGCCTGGGAGGTGAGGTAGTAGGCTGTTCTAAGGTCCTGAGGTAGCTGCTTATAGAAGGTGGCTTTGCCCAAAGATACAACAGGACGGCTCAGGGAGGCAATCTTCTTTGCTATTCTCATGGTCTCTTCTTCCAGCCGCTCTTCTGGCACAACTTTACTGAGCAGCCCATGGTGCAAGGCCTCCTGTGCAGAAATAGGCTCCCCAGTAAAAAGCATCTCCAAGGCCACCTGAGGGAAGGGACACATGAGGTCATTAAGGCATTCTTCATATCCCATGGCCACCTCAGCCCCCCTCTCTCCATCTCACTCTGATGAGATGGTTGCTCTCCCGACTTAATTACACCTCAACCCAGGTATCAGCTTCCTCAAATGACATGTCATCTGCCACTCCTGATGTTGTCAACACCCTAACTCCTGCCAGAGACAAGATCAGATCTTTCCAAGAGCAAAGAAAATACAAGTAGTCCGGGAGGGGAAGCGATTCTCTTGTGTTCTCTTGTTCCTCCACATATCTGATCACTAGGTCTGGCTTAGGTAGAGATTCCATCTGTCTCTTCCGAGGGCCAAGTGCAGGACATCAGCCCATCTGATGGGAGGCCACCTCAAATTCCACCAAATGAGGCCCATTCCCTGCTGCCACCAACACAGAGGCCACTTTCCACAAGAAGGTGCATATCCTCAGCCTCCATTTTGGGGAGAGGAGGGGATTTAAAGATATGTTTTCCAGGAACCAGATTCAGAGCCTGGCATGGATTGCCATGTTGGTAAGAGGTGGCAGAGAAGGACACCTCTGCCCTCCCACATGCCCGCTCCCCAGAGGTCAAGGCTGCAGACAGGTAGCACCACTCCTCTCTCCACAGATGCTTTGTTCTCTAGCCTGCAGTAGGCTGAACTTCCTCTTCAGACTCAAATTTACAGTTGACAAGAGGGCTCTCCAGAGGCCCATGAATACAATGTACTGGGGACCCTCCTCTCCCTCCACCCCCTCACTCATTCCCTGGCAACTGGATGGCATCCTTGTCATTCCATGAACATGCCAAGTGTGCTGTCACCAGCAGGGACCCAGAGCAGAAGCGAAGGTGAAAACAGAGTCACCCCACCTGTGGCTCCTTTTCCTTCATTAACACAAGTGGCTCTGGGGAATTTGCTTAGACCACATATCAGGAAGCGGCCATGCCTGAAAAACAGATGTAACATGAACTCTACATCCTCCCAGAGTCAAGCCCATGGATTCCTTTATCACTGGAACAATCAGGACCTCAAGTGACTTTCAAAGCATAGTTAAGAATGGGATCAGAACTAGGAGGAGGAAATAATAAAAGTCAAAGTAGTAAGTGCTGCTTTCTGGTTGGCTTAGCAGACTGGCATTTGTTTATGCCCACTCAGCGGCACTTGCAGTTTGGGTTGATGATTTGTCTGTGGGCACAGTCCCCCTTATCAGGTGCCTTCTGATACATGCCTTCCTTGGCTCCTCTTTTCCCTTTCATGTCTGTGTGTCTCTCCTGTTCACATTTGTAAAGCATCTGTTGGGTTCATATTGTAGCTGCACTGGACTCCACACATCCCAAGATGTTTTCAGGGTAAGTCCTTTTGGACATCAACTTTCCATGGGCTGGGACGTGAAGCAGGCCTCAGGCAGCGGCTCGTCTCAGACCTGCCGAGTGTTGGTCCTTGAAGGACCCCTGAGTAAGTTCTTCTCACTCTCACTGCCTCAACAGGAAAACTGTGGCACAAATGACTGCTTCCCGGGAGTACTGTGAAGAATAGTTGACTAATGACTGCAGGGCACATGGGCATATCAAGTGTAATGGAGATGCTAGGAAAAAACTGGTTCAAGGAAAACCTAAATCAGAATTCACAGAAGACAGGTTCATGGGACCTAGTGTGTTTTGTACATGAAGGAAGGTAACCATCATCCACAAGAAGGAATTCAAATTACAGCACTGCATTCTCTGGTTCATTCACTCAGCAATATTTAGACAGGGAGCCTTCCATGCATCAGTTTCTGTGCCATGGATAGTGTGGTGTTCCCTCACCAACTTCATATGCTGAAGCCCTAACCTGCAATGTGATGGTTTTTAGAGATCAGGCCCAGATGGAGGTAATAAAGGTAAAATGAGGTCAGAAGGGTGGGGTCCCCTAAGGATAGGACAGGTGTCCTTTCATAAGGGGCCTCAAAGCTCACTCTCGCTCTACATATGAGGATACCGTGAGAAGGTGATTATTGGTAAGCCAGGAAGAGGGTTCTCACCAAGAACCAAATCAGCCAGCACCTTGCTCTTGGACTTCCAGCGTCAAGAACTGTGAGAAATAAATGTATGTTGTTTAAGCTGGCCAGGTTGCAATATTTATTATGACAACCTCAGCTGACTAATACACAGGAGTACTATGGGTTTGGGAAGAAACTCCCAAACCTTGCTTAAAAAATGAAAGGTAAAGAAAACAGTTTGTAAATACCTAAACTGAATCATTCTGGGAGGAGGTAGAATTCTAATCCCTGGAGCACATAAATAAGGAAGACCCTTAGCTGTCAGAGAGAGAAGGTTCTGCTCACAGGCAGGAGCAAGAATTCAGCAATCTCTTATATTCCTTTGTGCACCAAGGATTCTAATGTTATTGTACAAAAAAATCAACACAAAGGAAATAAACATGATCTAGAACATAAGAGATTTTAATTGGTCAGAAAGGATGCTTTCCTGCAGTCTTTTAATCAGAGAAAGACAGACTGCCAGACATCCAGACAGAGATCATCAGAATAGAGATAAAAGGTCAGACCACAATTATCAATATAACCTCTACTAAGTTCTGAGCATTGTGCTTGGCACATTCAAAACTAAAATGTGGACAGATACCAGTCCCGTTTCTCCTATTACCTAAGCTTAGTGCCTACAAGGATTGCTTAACTCAGGAGTCACCTCCCATGGGATTATTTAAATGATGAAAGATGCTCATCTTTCTGGAACATTCTATATGCATCCTTGCCAAAGCAAGGTGAGGGACCACATCCCTTGGCCAAGTCCCTCCTTGTCTTGGATTATTTTATCACTTGTTTTTGGTACAGACTTCTTTTATTGTCTCTTACGCAAGATTCACTTACAGTAAAAATAATCCTATTCATTAGCTAGTATATTTATTGATATCTCCCCACTCATCGTCTTTCCCATTTCACATGAAGTGACAATCTATCGTGAGGGGGAAACTGAGGAATTAAAAGGGCTTGGTCCCACTCTGCACCATGTTGCTGGTAAAGGAAGAACCTTTTTCTCTGGCCTTTAGAATCTGATCTGGGTCCCTGCTGGATCTCAGGCTTGTAGTCCAGCTCTGACCTCTGTAGTCTCTTCACAAACCCATGCAGTGTGACAAAGCCTAGGGTGTCCCAGCATGTTCCCGTGAGTGTCAGCTGTTGAGAACAAAGAAGTCAAGAGAAAAGGGGAGGAACTCAGGCAGATGGTGAGATGGCCAGTTGATGGACACACCTGGATGGACACAAGGGGAGAGAAAAGGGCTCAGGGGCTTTCTTAATTAAGGCACGATGTTGATCTAGGTCAGCCCAGGGCACTGTGGTGTATCCCCTGTTTTGGGTACAAAACTTGGATGAGCTGAAGGACACTCCACAAATAAGTGGGGACTTCTACAATCTTGTATCTTTTCCCTTTAGCTGGGAAGACCAAGACAATTTTGCTGGGATTAACACTGCTTAAGAAAGGAAGACCTGGAGCAAGGTCAAGAGACACAATGCACGGACTGAGTCTTGGCCCTACCTTTGGCTTCCTGCCATTCTGCCAAATTTATCCCCCTCTGTGAGCCTCAGTTTCCTTATTTGCCTTGTGGAGTCATACGATTTAGCAATATATTGATTTATGTGGATTTTTGTCCAGATTAGGGAGTGACTTTCCATAGGAAAAAGAAGCCTTTTGGTTTTATAGTCAGCACAATCTTTACTTAGTATTTGAGTTTCTATGAGGTGTGCCCCCGGAAACTTCAGATGGAGTTTCTCATTTCCATAATCAACTCGTGTCACCTTTCAGATGGTACCTCTTGTCACCCTAAGAAGTTGGTAATTTAATAATTCTTTTTCCTAGGGGTATTTGCATTAAAAGGAAAAGGACTCAAGACTGTGGCTTAATCCCAAGGTCAGGTGACTTGGTAGGAAGGAATATAGGGTTTGTTTTGGATATACCTGGGTAACAATCCTGCTACTTACTAACTGTAACACTGAACACAAGTGATTTAACTCTTCAGAGTCTGTTTCCTCACGTGGAAATTGGAACAAACATCTCATCCTCCTGCAGTATTGTGATGGTTAGAGACAGCAGGTGTAAAGCTTGTGATACAGTACTGGGTACTCAGTAGGTACCTAATACATACACTGGTTATTATTAACAGATCTATTTTAACTGTAAATTTCTGACTCTGATATTGGCTTCTAGGTATCACAGCACCTGAACAGGGGGACCATATAAAGCAGAATGGTCACTGAGTCATGCCCTCTGTCACACAATATGACAAGAACTGTGTGCCACAGCACTCCAGGGACTTTTTGAATGGGCACAGTGTCTTTGTCCATTCAAGTTTCTATAACAAAATACCATAGACTGTGTAGCTTATAAGCAACAGAAATTTACTTCTCACAGTTTTGGAGGCTGAAAAGCCCAAGGTCAAGGCACCAGCAGATTCAATATCTTGTGAGAACCTGTTTCCAGGTCCATAGACTGACATTTTCTCACTGTGTCCCCACATGGGAAAAACAAGCAAGGCAGCTGTCTGGTGCCCATTTTAAAGGGCACTAATTCCACCATGAGGCCTCCACCCTTGACCTAACCACCTCCCAAAGGCCCACTTCTAATGCCATAGTTTTGGTGATTAGGTGTCAACGTGTGAACTTGGGGCATTCAGGTGTTTGCTAGGATGAGGAAATGAGTACAGGAGTCCATGCACAGAGTGGAACCCACAAGTGTGCACAGGTGCACTTGCAGACATGTGCTCATAAACACAACACTGGGGCAAGCAAGCTTCAGCGCGGAAGCCCACTGGGAGGAGGATCCAGACCTCATCCAGTTGTTTGAGGACATGAGAAAAGTGACTGAAACTCTACTCTGAACTGCACGTTCTCTGAGCTGCTGGTCACACAAATCATAGCTAAACTGCAGGTGCTTTGAGGCAGGTCTGGGACTCTGCATTTCCCCAGGCTCTCTGTTGGGGCAGCAATGTGAACAGCAACAATCTTACGTGCTTTCTAGTTTGGAAATTGTCTCTGTTCAATTTAGACTAGTAGGAAATCAAATTCCACAGATGCATAGAGTAAAATTGGGCAAGTAGGTGGGAGGAGAGTCTCCAGAGATACAACTGCCTGAGGCACTGGCTCTGCATTTCTGCGTGAGGCCAGCTCTGCCTGGGGATGGGAGTGGCTGTACCAGGCAGGGTATTTATGTGGTGCAATGAAATGCATTAGTTAACTTACAGAAAAGTAGATTCACTGCACAAATGGGGGAAATCATTTGTGCCCAGCCAGGTTCAGTTGGTCTGAATACAAGGGCCTGGCCTTATCACTTCTGCCCCCAGTGGACAAACTGCAGTCTTCAGTCCCGGCACAGCCAAGCAGGTTCTAGGATGACCAGCAGAGGGCACTAGTGTCCCACACATGCCATCTTAGTCTGTGTGGTAAGGGCTGTCCAGGCTGGTATGCAAAAGCATCTGCTGGCCTTCCTGTGGATGAGCATGCCCACCACATGCATGTGTGTGGGTGGATCAGTACACAGTGTGTTTGTGTGTGCAACCAAGCAAAGGTGACAGGCAGGTGCTTCTGGCCAGATTTAGATTTTTATGGATTCCAATTTTTTCTCCTAAGCAGGCCACATGGGTCAGCTCTGCAGACCCAGAAACCTGCCAAAGGTCTTAGGTTCTGACATACTGTTCCTCCTAGAAAATCTTTGCCAATAATGTGATAATCACTAAGGAGCCACTTGTGCTCATTACTGCTCAAAACTATTTCCTGATTTTTGCCCCTAGTAGCTCGGTGTTAATGAGTCCAGATGTAAGGAGATCTGTTGACAGAACTCTGAACCACTTTCAGCAGGAAGATAGAACAAACCTCTAGTCCTGAGTCAGGTGACTCACAAAGCCTTCTGGGGGCCAGAACATGAAGAAGAGAGAACAGAAATCTGAGTGGACAACGAAGGAGTCTGTTCGTCTTCTGAGAAGACCAGTTCTTGACAAAACTGTTTCGGGAGGGGAAAGGGACCTTAGTTCTTATAATGGTCTCATCTCTTACTTTGTCACTGGGCAATTACTGGGCAATTATGCAGTGTGGTTCTCAGAATTAGGCTTCTAAGAAACTTAAGGCCTGTTTTTTTGTTGTTGTTGTTTTGTTTTTGTTACCTTTCCCCCTTTTTCTTCTCAAAGACTAAAAATTTGATAAATATGATACAATGTTGAGTTTCTAGGAGTCAAATCTGATAAGCCTTGACTTCAAAAGTTTGCTTGTTTCTTTTAAGACAGAATGGGCTCTAAACCTGATAGGAGAGCTAATTTAAAGGTTTTAAATGCTTTTCCATGGAACTTTCCAGCAAGTCATGTATTGAAGAGAATAAACAGATTAACCCTGCAGCCTTTTGCTGGGCAAATGCCTCATTATTTGATTTTTCAGTCAAAGGATAGTTTATTAGTGAGCTCTGACAATAGATTTGTAATACATTTTTATTATTAATTAGTTAATTTTTACTTTTTTCTGTGCTGGGAATCAAACCCAGGGCCTTGTGCATGTCAGGCAAATGCTCTGCCACTGAGCTACATCTCCTGCCCTGTAACTCGTTTTAATTTAATATACTGACACAGAGTAGCAACTTAGGAAATACTTGCTGAACAAATATCTGTACATTTAAGGTGAATATCTATCTTGATAGAATCAAAAGCATCTCCTTTGTTAGAAGACATTTCAGCAAACTGTCACCTTTGCAGTGTACAGCCCACTTTCTGCCCAATGTTCTGATATCAGTGGTAATTGTAACAAACTAATTCTTAAACCTTGGGAGCATGGGAGGGCAAAGCCTGGAGAAGGGTCACGAGGAAGTCATGTTACCTTTCTGGGCACTGATCTCCCCAAGGCAACTGCAGGCGTGGAGCAGAAGAGCCCGATGTTCACCCCAGGAGTGGCAAAAAAGGACTTGTCGCTTGCCACAGCAATGTCGCAGCTGGCAACCAGCTGACAGCCAGCAGCTGTGGCCAAGCCATTGACCATGGCGATGATGGGGACAGGGTGGTTCCGGATAAGCATCATCACCTGTGGACCAAGCAGAGTGCAGAGCCTGTCAGGCCCTGTCATCACACCGGCTTCCCTGTTTCTAGAGCACTTCCCAAGGTATTAGTTCATCAGAGTGTACGAACAAAGGATGAAAGAAAGCATGCGAAGCACTAACTTGTATTAAATGTCTACTTGAAGCACACCATGTAATTTAATGGGTTTCTGGAAACCCCATGAGGAAGGAACCCTATTTGGCAGCAAGGACCTGAACCTCAGGTGTCCGAGGCCACGTGGCAGGTAAGTGGTGGTCATGGCATCTGAGCCTGGCTCTGTGAGTGACCATCCCCTCCACCGGCTTCCCTGTACAGAACAGTATAGAACAGTTCAGATGGATTTTTGTCTCTGGGGAACAAACAAAACCCTTCCCAAATAGCTCTGCTCTCCTGTGCCTGTGGGAAGCCCTGGTGTTAAAAGTCTAAAATTGGTATTTGGTGCTTCCTTGAAAATTTAAGGTAGGAAAGGGACCTGAAGGCAATTTCCTTAGTAATTACTTCTCAAATCACCATCGTGGGTACTCTCCCAATTCTATTAAAATGAGGAGGGGGATACCCTGCTGTCATCAAGATAAACAAATTCCTAAACAGAGCCACTGGCACAGAGAAGAGAGACAAAAGTGCCTCTGTGACCAGAACGCTAACTTATTTGTGCAGCTTATTTTTTCATGACAGGCTAAACAGATTGTGTTGCTATGGCAACTTCAATTTCTAAATTATTGCTCTTTGAACCTTGGCAGGGAGGGAGGGAAGATAGGAACTACATCTGGGCTTTTCCCCAAGGCAGTAATTCAAAAGAAAAATGACCTTCACTGATTTGAAGATTTTGCCTAGGAAACTTACCTTTTATCTTCATAAACATTTGATATTTGTTAGCTTTTTCCTACAATAACCAATAGATAGTCAAGCGTTGCTTAATGTTTTTGTCAAGTACAGAGTGTATAACCATAGTGGTCCTGTAAGATTACAGTAGACCCCCCCAAATTCCTATCATCTAAGTGACCTCCTAGCCATCGTAATGTGATAGTGCAAGGCACTGCTCACGTGTGTGTGTTGTGATGGTGACATGAATGAACCTTTTACACTACCAGTCTTATGAAAGTATAGCAATCACAATTATGACAGTACATAATTCTCAATAATGATAATAAATAAATGACTATGTTAGTGGTTTATGAATTCACTATACAGTACTTACCTTTTTTTTGTGGTGCTAAGAATTGAACACAGGGCCTGTGCATGATAAGCACATGCTCTGCCATGGAGCTACACCCCTAACTTCAATATTACACTTTTAATCATCATTTTTGAGTGTAGTCCTTCTGCTAATTAAAATCTTGAAGAAATGAACAAATTTCTAGATACTTATGACCATCCAAAACTGAACCAAGAGGATATTAATCACCTAAACAGATCTATAACATAATAAAACTGATTCAGCAATAAAGAGTCTCCCAAAAAAGAAAAGTCCAGGACCTGATGGATTCTCTGCTGAATTCTACCAGACCTTTAAAGAAGAACTGATACCAACCCTCCTTAAACTGTTCCACGAAATAGAAAGGGAAGGAACACTGCCTAACTTTTCTATGAAGCCAGTATTATACTCATCCCAAAACTGGACAAGGACACATCCTAAAAGGAAAATTACACACAAGTCTCCTTAATGGACACTGATGCAAAAATCCTCAATAAAATAATGGCAAACTGAATCCAACAACATATCAGAAAGATCATTCACCATGACCAAGTTGACCTCATCCCAGAGATATAGGGATGGTTCAAAACATATGCAAATCAATAAATGTAGTACAGCACATTAATAGAAGCAAAAACAAAAAGAACTTGATTATCTCAATAGATGTAGAAAAAGCCTTTGATAAGATTCAACACCAGTCATGATAAAAGCTCTAAGAAAACTAGGAATAGAAGGAATGTACCTTCAACATTATAAAGGCTATATATGACAAACTTATAGCCAACATCATACTTTATGAGAAAAAATTGAAACCATTTCCCCTAATGTCAGGAATGAGACAAGGATGCCCATTCTCCCCACTCCTATTCAACATGGTCCTGGAATTCCTAGTCAGAGCAATAAGGCAAGAAGAAGGAATAAAAGGAATACAAATAGGTAAAGAAACTGTCAAAATATCCCTATTTGCAGACAACATGATCCTATACCTCAAAGACCCAAAAAACTCTACCCAAAAACTCCTAGACACCATAAACAGCTATAGTAATGTAGCAGGATACAAAATCAACTTACAAAAATCAGTAGCCTTTCTCTACAACAACAATGAACAGATTGAGAAAGAATATAGGAAAATAATTCCATTTACAATTGCCTCAAAAAAAATCAAATACCCTAGGAATAAACTTAACAAAGGGTATAAATGACCTCTACATGGAGATACCACTGAAGAAAGAGATTGAGGAAGACTACAGAAGGCAGAAAGATCTCTCATGCTCAGGGATTGGAAGAATCAACACAGTAAAAATGGCTATACTCCCAAAAGTAATCTACATGTTCAATGCAATTCCCATCAAAATCCTAATGACATTTTTCACAGAGATTGAAAAATCTACCCTAAGGTTCATTTGGAAACACAAAAGACTGCGAATAGCTAAGGCAATACTTAGCAAAAAGAGCAACACTGGAGGTATCACAATACCTGACTTCAAACTATACTACAGAGCCATAGCGATAAAAACAGCTTGGTACTGGCACAAAAACAGACATGAAGACCAGTGGAATAGAATAGAGGACCTGGATATGAATCCACACAGCTATACCCACCTTATTTTTGACAAAGGTGCCAAAAACATATGATGGAGAAACCACAACCTCTTCAACAAATGTTGCTGGGAAAAGTGGTTATCTGCCTGCAGAAAACTGAAACTCAATCCATGTCTGTCACCCTGTACTAGTATCCACTCAAAGTAGATTAAGGACCTTAATATCAGACTTGAAACCTTATAGTTAATATAGGAAAGAACAGGGAAGCAATAGGTATAGAACTCTAGCAGCCTAGCAACTAAGAGAAAGGATGGACAAATGGGACTACATGAAATTAAAAAGCTTTTGCACAAAAAAAGAAATGGTCTCTAAATTGAAGAGACCATCCACAGAGTGGGAGAAAATATTTGCTGGCTATATATCAGACAAGGGACTGATAACCAGAATATACAGGGAACTCAAAAACTAAACTTCCCCCAAATCAATGAACCAATAAAGAGGGCAACTGCTTTTCAAAGGAAGAAGTCCAAATGGCCAAAAAACACATGAAAAAATGTTCACCACCCCTGGACATAAAGGAAATGCAAATTAAAACCACACTGAGTTTCCACCTCACTCCTGTTAGAATAGCCATCATAAAAGCACCACCAACAACAAATGTTGGTGAGGATGCGGGGAAAAAAGGAACCCTCATACACTGCTGGTGGGAATGTAAGCTAGTACAACCACTTTGGAAAACAATATGGAGGCTTCTTAAAAAACTAAACATAGATCTGCCATATGATCCAGCAATCCCACTCCTAGGAATATACCCAAAGGAATGTGACTCAGGTGACTACAAAGGCACCTGCACACCCATGTTTTTTGTAGCACTATTCACAATGGCCAAGCTATGGAAACAGCCAACATGGTCTAAAACTGATGAATGGATTAAGAAAATGTGGTATTTATACACAGTGGAGTTTTACTCAGCCACAAAAAAGAATGAAATTTTGACATTTGCAGGTAAATGGATGGAACTGGAGAATATCATCTTAAGTGAAGTTAGCCAGGCTCAGAAGGCCAAAAATTGCATGTTGTCCCTCATATGCAGATTATAGACCCAAAACAAATGCAGTAATATTATTGGACATGGGTCACACACTAAGGGGAGACAGTGCAAGGGAGGAATAGGGAAAGGGAAGGAAACCTAAAACTTGAATGTAGTTGATGTGCTCACTGTAGAGGAGCTAATAAAGTAATCTTAAACTGGCAGAGGCCACTATGGAAAGGGGACTAGGAAGTAATGAAGAGGTCTGGTAGAGATGAACCAATGTGGGTTGCAGTACACATGTACATGAAAGCAATACTAGGAATCTCTCTGTATAGCATTCTTTATCTCAAATAGTAAAAACGCTAGGTCTTTCTTATTATCTCTTATGTTTTCTCCTTAGCAAAATCAGAGAACAAGAGGGCAGAACAGGTTCTGCCTGGAAGGTGGGGGGTGGTGGCCCAAACAATGTATGTACAGGTGAGTAAATGTAAAAATGATAAAATTAGAAAAAGTTTCCTGCAAAACTGTCTCATATTTACCTTGTCTCTTGCTTGTATTATTGTCTCTGTGTTTGATTTAACCTTCTGTTTTTTGCTCACCATGGCCCTAGGGGCAATAGGCTATTCCAAATGTATATACCATGTAGCCCAGGAGTGGGGCAGGCTATGCTAGCTAGGTTCCTATGGGTACACTCTATGATGTTTGCCTAGTGATGAAATCACCTAACCACACATTTCTTAGAACCAGTCCCTATCATTAAAGGAAGCATGACAGTGTACTTAAGGGCACTCTTTGCTCTTTGCGGGGATAGGTGGGTCATCTTTTGAGAATCTGACAAATGTTAGTGACCTTCTCCCCAGAGAAATGTGCGCACACACACGTGCATAAAACTGCTCATGAATGTTGGAGGTAGGGAGAGATGTCTGGGTGGTTAGTGATGGCTCTCGTTCCAGTGAACTGGAACAAGAAAAACTTGCAGACTTTCCAAAATCTTGCTGCAAAGAAATAAAAGTTGTGGTTTAGTTCTGAGTGTTGTTCCATCACCCAGAGAGCTGGTATTACATATGAAAAGCCAGTTGACTGGAATTAAGGTTGAGCAGTGTATGGGTTTTGTCTGTCAACTATGTGAGGGCTGGGATTAAAAAAAAAAAATAACTGGTAGGAAAAAGTTAGGTTATATGGGATATATTCACCCACATTTAAAATGCTTATACCTTTGATTTAGGAATCTGTATCTAAGAAATAATCTGAAATAGATAAAAAGCTCTAGGATCAAAGATGCTCACCAAATCATTATTTTACAGTGGGAAAAAAGGGAATTTAAGTATACAAAAATAAGTAATTGGCTGTGATGGTTTGGATGGGTACCTCTCAAAAGTCCTTGTATTAAAGTCTTGGTTTCCAGAGTGTTGTTATTAGGAGGTGATGGAACCAGTAGGAGATGGGGCCTTATAGGAGGTCCTTAGGTCACTGGTGATGTGCTCTCAAAAGGGATTGTGGGGCCCAGCTCCTTTCCTCTCTCTTGTGATGTGCCCAGTTTACTGGAACATGCTCCCTGCCATTGTCATTTTTGGTACCTTCACAACAGGCCCAAAATCAATGGGCTACTTAATCTGGATCTGAATTCCCAAAACCATAGACTGAATAAATCTTTCTCTTTTTATAAGTTAATTACCTCAGATATTTTGATGTAGTGCTATGGAGCTCATAAATGCTATGTAAACGACATTATATCATTAATAAAATGCAGCATTCTTAGGGAAGTGAAATTTTCCAAGGGAAAAACCAGCACGGTGATCCTGGGCTCATATAGCCTGAGTGGCTTACAGTCAGGCTGCTGGGGTTTGATGCTCAGTCTGTCACTTACTGCCTAACCCTGAATAAGTGACCTAACCCTTTAGTGAAATGGGTGTACTATTAGTAGCAATCTTACGGAACATGACAGTTACATAAATTGATATGTGTACAGTATTTGAACTATTCCCTGGCACATGGTTAGCATCCAATGCTATAGTCAAATTATAATACACAATTATACACTATAATTATGCCTACATAAGATTATTCAAAGAAGTTGGCACATAGGGAAAGTTATTAACAAAATATTAGTTACAGCTTTCTCTGAGTGGTATGATTATGGTATGGCATTAATTTATTTTTTCTAGATTTTCAAATTTTTCTGTAATAAGTACTTATTATTTTCATAATTCAAACTATCTTAAAGTTAGAGAACAGTTCAGAAAAGACAGAGAATTTAGACTGTAAACAAGATAGGATAATCAAACACTTGCTAGTCAACAATTGATTCCTTCTACATGACCTTCTTGAGTGAAGTACTAGTTTTGGTTCTGCCTACTTCAAAATGTGACACAAACTCATTTACCAGCTATTGAGGGTTTCAAGTTATTTTCAAAAGTGAAAGACCTCACTCATCCTACTGTCATTTCATTGTAAGAAGAGAAAATTCTCAAGGGCGAAGGTTTCCATCTCTGAACTCCAACAGGATATAAGAAGAGAAGCAAGAGAAGCAAGGGATGGGCCTCTAGTGCAGGTTGCCAAATCAGCACCCCAGATAGTCACTTCAGCTCTTCCACACCAAGTTCTTCTCATTCCTAATTTGCCCTACTCCTGATTTGTAACAAACTATCATGCGATACTTGTGGTCTGTCATTTACTAGATGATGAACTAATTCAGATACCTCTATCTTGCTTTCTAAAATCAAATTTCCTTGTGCATGAACTGAACAATGAACTATCTAGCTCATTCCATTCCAATCTGCTTGCTGATTACACTAGGCGATTGAAATCTTGCACAAGTTCTTGGTGTTCATATTTATCCAAGTTCACATGAATTTCTTAGAAATAATATTAAAGAAATCAGCACTCTTGCATTTCTAGTTTACTTTTAGGGCTAGGTCCTCATTATGCACTAAGTCTCTTCCGGTGAGCCAGAGGCATCCATGGGCTGGATGCTTCCAAGAAACCTGGTCTTTACTCATTGATGAAGTCTGGCTCTCAGGCCAAGACTGTTTAGCTCTTAGTTCATCCAGATACCATAACAGAGTGATAAAAACTGAGCCTTTATGAAGGGTGGAGGGGCTGTACTGATTCTCTTAATGCTTTTTAATTTTAGCAAAACATTCTGGGTATTGGTAGAAAAATGACTCCTAAAGCACCAAGCCTAGGCAAACCCAAGAGGAGAATATTCTATAAACATCACTGATGCAGGAAACAAAGCCAAGTCTTAGCTCTCTCTTGCTTCTGCCTCTCCATGGAGTGTTAAGTAATCATGCTTCCTGTTTGTCCTCCCATGAAATTTTCTCATGAAATGAGAAAAATATACTCTGATCTGCAGTGGTTTTCTGGAAGAGCGAGGAAAACAAGTGGTGCTCAAAAGTGTGGCTCAATTGCCTTTCCATCACCCCCCGTGTTGCTCACCTCTGTCTGGTCTGTGTAGTTGGTATCATTAAATATATGTTGAATTATTAATGACAAAATACACAAATAAATCAATGAGGTTAAACAATCTTAACGTCAGGTTATGAAACTTTTTAATGTCTTGTTTCCTAAGTAGATTTCCAGTTTCATTTGGTCCAGAAGCATTTTCCCCCTATATTTCTTGCAAGTGTCATGTTTAAAGTAGGTGCCCAGTAAATACTCATTAGATAAACAAAGCGGGTTCTATATTCAATTTTTTATTACCCAGGGATTAGTTAATACATTTATATATCATCCAAAACTTTTTGTACCTCTTCTTCCTCTGTGGCTGTTGGCAAGTCTTCTCCTTAAGAAAACTTGGTGAAAGGGGCAGAAGCATAAAATTGAAGAGGTTAACTGTCCTCCTTGGAGGTGGTAATTATAAAGCTAGAGTGATAAAATAACATAAGGGCTGGAGGCATGGCCCAGGTGGTAGAATACCCGCCTACCAAGTGTGAGGGAAAAAGAAAAGAAAATAATGTAAAAAAAACACTCATCATTATTGTTATTTCCATTGTGAATGCTCTCTATCACTACCAGGGATGTTTAAATATTTTAAAAATAATAATCTTAGGGTCTTCCTGTTTAAGATACATGTTTACCTTTTACTTCTTATCAAAACCTGCATTTCAAGACCCCCCCTCCCACAATGCTGGAGACAGCAACTAGGACTATCATTGTGTATTTCATTATGCTCTTTAGTACATAACATCAGTAACACATTATGGTCACTTTTTTTTGTGTTTGTGATGCTGGGGATCGAACCCAGGGCCCCACACATGCTAGGCAGGTACTCTACCACTGAGCCACATCCCCAGTCATTTGGTCACCTCTTAAAAGTCCAAGTCAAAGAACTGCTGGATGAATGACCAATGATCCCAGAGTTTTCGGTAGCTCCATGGTGCTGGTAGATCAATTCTCATCTGCAAACCTGAAGGCTAACTTGGTATTTAATTCAACCATCGTTTGCATGCTGGCAATGCAACCATCATCTTGGCTTACCTCAGAACAGGTCTGAAATATTTCCGCGTGATAATCACAGCCTTGCTCTTCTGTCAGTTCCTTTAAATCATGGCCAGATGAAAACACAGGTCCCTCAGCTGCAAATGTGCCCAATTGAGAAAAGCAAAGAAAAAGATGTCAACAGCCAGAGGCAGGCAGTTCACTTACCCACCGAACAACTTTAGAAACTAATCACGTCTATGCTGTAGACACTCAGAGAAAGGTAAAGGCTACTTTTGATAAGGATAATCCCAGTTTGCTTGGAGAGTTACAGCAGAATATTGGGATGAAAATGTAAGATGAGGCATCTGTATCCTAAGAGTTCATGGTGGAAACCAGTGACAAGATGCAGTTACACAGGAAGGCTTGATGACCATGGGGGAGGAGCATTTTACAGAGCAGTCCCTCTGGTCTCATGCTTTTGTTTTGGGACTCAGTCTGCCCTAAGTGTATTGTCCCCTGAAATCCACCAGGCCTTAGGCAATGTTGCTTAGCATATAGGTGAGGGCCGTCCTTAGGGGTTGAATCAGGAAGGTCAGAGTGCAAGCAGAACTGGCTCTAGCTTTTTTTCTACAAAGGAGGGAATTGAGCATGTGGCTGCTGTCACTGTCACTAATAACAAAATGCCATTCCACTGATGCATTGATAACGTATTCTCATATTTCCTTTTTGTTTTTGTTTTTTTCCCCCCTTCTTCAATTCAGTTCTAGGCTTTGACCTACAAACTTAGTGCTTGCTAGGGTGCCCTTTTTTGCTTTATTTTTCGATAGGGTCTTGAGTTTTTTGCCTGGGCCAATTCTGCATTGCGATCCTCCTGCCTATGCCTCCTGCTGTAGCTGGGATTACAGATGAAGACCACCAGACCCGACTTATTGGTTGAGATGGAATCTTGCTAAAGTTTTGCTCAATGGATGAATCTCGATCCTCCCAATTTCCACCTCCTCAGTAGCTGGGATTACAGGCATGAGCCACTGTTCCTGGCTTGTAGTTGTTTTCACAGGCAATATTATCCTCTTTACAAGTGAGGAAATGGGGTAGTTAAGAAGTTAGTGGCTTTTGCTGCATCTGGGTTATACCTCACATGGCTGTTACATTCTACTAGTTAAATTTCTTTTCCTTTTGCCATAGAAAACAGTTGAGAATCTCTGTTTTAGTTATTGCTCAGAAGGCGGCATTCTGAATATCTGCCTCCAGAAACAGACCCTTAAATTAAACAAATAAACAAAGTGCTACAGAATACTACTTGTTATATTTTTCTGAGGGAGCTTGAAGATGCTGACATTACTATTATTCATACCACCACCAGCATCACACAAAAAGACAATTCTGTACAAATTCTTTTTCTTAACTTTTGGTGGCACTGGAGTTTGAACTCAGAGCCTCACACTTGCTAGGCAGTAGCTCTACCACTTGAGCCACTCCACCAGCCCCAAATTTTGTATAAATTCTGATTAGAAAAAGAGCAAAGGAAGAAAGGGGCAAACTAAGGCACACATTCTGTCGCCATTAAAGATGGCACTTTGGGATCAGGTGGGAGCTTGGTAGGGACAAAAGACAAACAGTTGAATGTCCTAGATGACTGTGATTTTCCAAGAGGATTATTATTAACCCACTTTTATAAGGCTCATGAAGAAATCTATTCTCTGATTTTTTTTTTTCCGGTGCTGGGGATGTGTGCTAGGCAACGCTGGACCACTGACTTAGCCCAACCCCCAGGCTCCGATTTTGAAGAGAAGACCAGCACAGCAAAAGGCAGGGATGTTTATTTAGTATTTAGCAAAAAGGAAAAGACACATTTTCACTCCATGGTATTCTTTGCTGCAATTTCCACAATTAACAGTGCCAGGACCAAGTCCCAAACTACACGGAGTTTTCCATAAGGGATATTTTTCAAAGGAGCTCAAAACGTTTTTTCAGTTAAATGAAGCAATGACCCAGTTAACCAAAGAATCTGGAGAAAACTGGGCACTGCAGAACATGAAAGGCAGATATCAGATAAGTACCTGAAATGATAATGACTTTCAGATCTTTGCTTTCAGCTTCATGAAGAATGTCACTTTGGAGAGATTTCAGCATTGCAAGTGACAGTGCATTCCTCTTCTTGGGATTGCTCAAGACAATGTTCCTGTGAAAAACATTTTATAATCCTTGGGTCATGTGCCAGTCAAAACAAGCGAGGACCCCTGCAATTCCTTTCTAATTTGGGAGCTATTTTTAAACCCAAGAAAAGAGAACTGCTGGGGCTTACTGCCAATTTAGAAGGTCCGTCAGCTGTCTGGAGTTACAGCTAAGTCAAAACAAGAAAAAGACTACTTGAAAGGCAGGCTGGTTTATCTCCCTCAGCGCGCCCCTCCCCCCCACATTTGCTGTCAGAATCATGACTGCCACCTCGAAGTCAAGTCACAACAGTTCCCAAATCATCTCCGCCCACGGAGGATGAGAATCCTGTATAACAGCGGTAGGAGCCAGAGGAATCTGACAAACAGTGGCCACCTTCAACTTATTTCCTGGCGTTGAATAAGGTTGGGATAGGAGCCAAGAATGAAAATACTCTCAAATCTCCTCCCATCCACCCCAAAGAAAAGCAGCTGGGTACAGCTGCCAATATGCATATGTGACAGCAGTTTTTATCGGCCTTACAGTGGCATCCTGTAATCCTGCAAAAATAATTCATGCTGAGAACGGGATGATGTGCAAACGAACAAAAGGATGAAACCATATAAGAAGAGGGCTCTTCTGGACACATCATCTCACAAAAAGCTGACATTCAAAAGGCCTGTTCAATATTTTAAACTATCCCACATCTGAAGAAAACAACCTGCGTTGTCATCTCACTCTCTTACATAGAAATGTCTTATTTTTGCTGTTATAATAGGCAATGAACAAGGCACCAGATTATTGGTATCTATTTTATTTTTCCCATCAGTCTCCTTCTACTTGTGCTTTCCGCCTTTCTCATTTTTTTAATCTGACATTCCTCTTGCTGTATAGTCATCTTGCCTTCTCCATAAATAGCATTCTGTGCCATGTTTTTTGGAAAACAACTTTGATGACTGAATTTATTCAATGCAACAACCATTTTCTTTGGGACACCATTTCAATTTTGCTGCAGTTTTCAGATGGTTGTGATATTGTTTTGTTTCTCATAAACACATTCTCTTATAAGTACAAAAATTCCTTGTAGCTGGTTTGCTGGTTGACTTTTAAACCTCTATTTGTGGGAGAGGTAGTGGTGAGACGCTGCCTGTAACCCTTCGATAGAATGAGTATGCTTGCTGTGGCACCTATAAAGAGCTGCCACCTCACAGGTGACATGTGCCTAAATTAAACCTAAGGTCTTTGCTAGGCACCGGCTCACAACCTGTAATCCTAGCTACTCAAGAGGCAGAGATCAGGAGGTTGGTGGTTTGAAGACAGCCCTCGCAAATAGTTCACAAGACAGTATCTTGAAAAAACCCATCACAAAAATAGGGCTGGTGTAGTGGCTCAAAGTGAAGGCCCTGAGTTCAAACCCCAGTACCACAAAAAAAGAAAAAAAAAATCTAAGGCATTAGGCAAAACTGTGCAAAAAGATCCCAGCTGAATGCCCTTGCTACTTGGTAGTATCCATTCCTACACACGTCCCATTAATCATTTGGTACACACATTGTGTACACTGTCAGAATGCTCTCAATTGCTGTGTTCACTCAACTTCACCTCTCTTCTGATGCCACCACTCCACTGAAACTCTTCTCACTGATCATCGTCTAATTGCCAGAACCAAACCCACTGGCCATCTGGATCACTCTTCCCTTCTAGAAACATAGTCCTCTCCTGACTTTGTTGTTGTTGTTTTTCTTTTTCTTCTTCTTCTTCTCTAGCCACTCCTTGACTTTCTCCATGACTTAGCCTTCTGCTAGCCTCTAAATGCTGGTGATCCTGAGTCCTGTCCTTTGTCCTCTTCTTGCCCTGTGCATGCTTCTCAGGCAACTTCACCAATGGCCTTTTGTCCTCTCCCCTGAGTCCTGGGCCTGTGTATTCACTTAGATGTCTACTAGACTGCTCCAGCTAGGCCTGCCTTGGGCATCTCCTCTCACTCTCAAACCTGCACTGCTCTGGGTGGCACTCAGCTGCCCAAGTCAGAACCTCAGAGTCATTCTAGATTTCTATCCCTTCCTTATTTCACTGGTCATCAGGAAGAATTCAGACTCTGCCAATGACTATCACAGCATACAAGTCCTTGCACGAGGAGCTTCACCAACCTCACATATCTGAGGAGAAATTTCTTTCAGATGAGATCACCATCAGGGCATGTGACATAAGTGTAGAGGCAAGAGCTGGTCCCTGTAAGCCCCTGATGAACTGTCTGAAGGACATCCTTGTAAACTATGAGAAGGTCCATGAAGTGAGGGGCAGCATGTCTTCACACAGGAGACACTCAGTAAATACTTGATGATTGAATGTGTGACGAAAAATAGCATTTCTCTTTTCCACAGCCAGTTCCACCGATTAGTGGACTGACATTGCATCAGTTTGTTTGGGTCTCTTTGAGACCTAAGTGGTGAGTACACTGAGATGTCACAGCGGGGAGGGACCTCTCTCTAACTCCTGGCTGGGAGGCCTTGAACAGGCTGTTTCCTCTCTGAACTGACTCCTCACTGTGGATCAGGGTAATGTTATTTGCCTTGTAGGTCATTGTAAGAATTAGGGACAATGAATGCAGAGTACTTGGCACAGCACTCAGTTTGTAGGTGGCCTCGTGACATGACACCATCATTGCTCTGAGGCACAGCTCTGAGAAGGGATCCTTGAAGTGACCCAGTTGCTCACAGCCCTTGCTTAGAGCTAACAGTACTGTTGTAAGGCTTGATTTGGAAGTTTCCTTCCTAATACATGGTTCTTAGCATTTATGGTTCGTCACTTCCATCACTTCCCTTTCTGATTCATGTTTCATTCTGGAGAACTCAATCTACCCACTTTTGCTATCTGGCTGCCATGCAAGAAAAATCCTCCTGCCTCAGACTTCTAAATGCTGAGGATTACAGGCATGCACCACCATGCCTGGCTTATGACTAGATTTACAGAAACAGAACTGCCCTTAAAAGTGGGCAAGAAGGACCCTGTGTGTGCCCTGCCCTTCAGAGCCCTTCTTCTTGAGGTGTTCCTATCCATGGGCAAGAAGTCCGAAGGGAATGGAATCACCTCCCTTCCAAACTGCTCTGCAGTTACTGAGACCCTGGAATTCCCTGCAGTGGGCACCCCTAGGATCAAGGGTGGCCAGTAGATAGACAGAATGTGGGTATGCTGGATGGGCAGTCTGTAGACAGTGTGCCAAGTCCTTTGTAGGGCCACAGGAAGATGGTGGAGAGGTGCAGGGGATGGGTGGGGAAAGCTGCAGGCCAGAGCCTGGCTCTCCACCCCTTTTGAGGGAGTCTGAGTGAGGATTAAAAAGTCAAATGGCCTTTCAGGTCTTAGGAAGAGGCACTTGTCAGGGTAGGAGGACAGAACACTAACCTTGCCTTGGCCAGGCAAATGTTAGAATCAGGCCTGGACAGGTTAGGAGCCATCCAACCTTCATTACTCCAGCTGTACAGTGTCCACTTTGTGCATAGATACAGATTTAAGGTTTTTAGGCTTGTGCAAAAGGGCAGCACTCAGAACGGTGTGCCCTTTTTCCTATTTATTTACCTGCCCCCATCCCTGCACTTCAGGGTGAGCCCTTGAGGGCGGGCTCAGCTAAGCTTGCCTCACCCTGGAGCCTGGCCAAGCTTGAGAGGGGCACGGAGCTTGTGCGGGACAGAGCCCTCTGTGAAGGACTTTCTGGGGGTGCACCTGCAGAGCTGTCCACACCGGACCCAAAAGTCCAAAAAACGACAGGGTTTGGTTGCCTTGAAGGTTCTAGGGTGTCCCAGGCAGTTCCACTACCTCCCGTGTGTCATACTACTGTGTCAGGCAAGGGACACCCGTAAGCTCACTGTGCAAGGATTCCTCCCTAAAAAGATTAATCGCCAGATTCGGCAGTGACGGATAACCGCGGCCAGTGGCGGCGAGGACAGAACTGACCACCCTCCCGGCGTTCGGGGGCTGTGGGAGCGGGACGGCGGGGCGCACGGCGGGGCCTCCTCTGCGGGTCTCCCCAGGTCCTGGCCCCAGCCCCCGGGGGAGCCCTCGCCCGGCCCGCGGGCTGACCTGATGCCGTCCCGCTGCCGCGCGCTGGTGGGCCGCGGCTCCGACTCTGGCACCTCAGTCCCGGCCAGTCCCCGGGCGGGTGGCGGGGCCCACCGGCCGCACAGGAGCCAACTGGGCACCTTTGCCCTGAACGCCAGCAGGCTCGCCAGGGTGGCCATGGCAGCCACAGACCGGCAGGATCCGGCCGGACGCCGCCTGGTCCCGACCGGCCTCAGGCTCTGGGCGCTCCGAGGAAGCAGGTGCAGGCCGAGCGGGGCAGCTGCGACACGGCCGGGCGGTGAGCAACAGGTAGGCCAGGCCTAAGCCTCGCGGTCATTCCCGGGTCTCCAGGACGCCCCGCCTCCAGCCCCGAATTTCTCCTGTCACCCGCCCCTAGAAGACACACTGCCAAAACACACGCCTCCAGAAAGACATGTCACAGAAGCCACGCCCCCAACGCGCCACGCCCCTAGGAAAGACACGCCCCCAAACGCGCCACGCCCCCAGGAAAGACACGCCCCCAAACGCGCCACGCCCCAGGAAAGACACGCCCCCGAAGACACGCCCAACGCGCCACGCCCCTAGGAAAGACCCGCCCCGTAGGACGCAGCCCCGCCCCCTGACGCCCTGGGCTTGGCGCCGGCCGTCTCCGGGGTCGGACCGGCCCGTGGGTGCTGCGTCCGCGTACGTAGCAGCCCTGGGGTGAAGGACGCCAACTCAGCCAGCTCCGCTGTTTGTTTTGCTCAGCAAGGCTGAGAAAGAGTTTAAGGGAGGGGAGAACTGGGTTGGCTTGTTTCTTTCTGCACCAATTATCTGGAATGTGCGGGATGCTTAGATTAGCAAAATGAGTGTCATCAGGCGGTGGGTGGCGTGAGCTGTGTTACAAATTGCTTCGCCCACACTGCATGCAGGACACTCCCAGGCCTTTGCGGGCCATTACACATCACAACTGGGGTGTAACGTAGTCAGATGTTGACTTTGAATGCTTTGTGTCTTCTCTTGGAGATCCATGTGTTTTGCAAATGTACCCAAGACGGACAAAAGAGTACTTTCCAGGCATGTGCATCAGACAGCGCACATGCGGCGGTGCAAAGTAAAGTTTACGTAGGGTGAGAGACTATCCTGGTTGCTATTTGATAGTTACTTCCTGCAAGTGGGGACATTTGTGGGAGACATGGCATACATGTTCTTGGCCCCCAGGATCTTTCTGTCTGGAGCAGAGATGCCATCCCCAAAGGACATACTCAAACAGTGCCACTGAAGTTACTCGGTGGCTTAAAATGGTCACACACTGGTTTCTTTGAGTGAGGCAGTCTTTAGTTTTTGACTTTATAACTGGACAAAGTACTTACGTACAGAACAATATTTTGAAATATCAATTGATATCACTACCACCCTCCACTTATTTCCTCCGTTCTTGCTCCTTTCAGGAAGCTGGGTTTATTCCTCATTCATTGCCTGGAAGGAACAGGATCCAGCAGAGATCTGGGGGCAGCAATTCTTGGCTTCAGAGTTTTCAAAGCTCAGCATTGGGGAGGTGGAAAGAACACAAATCAGGCATGATAAATCAGAGCTAGGCTTCCAGCTGAGGCAACAGAAAGACTTCCTGGATTTAAGGGCAGGAGGTGTAAAGTAGGACTTGCAGGAAAAAAGAAAGAGAGGGTAACTCTTGTGGGGTCTTGAGAAAGGGGGTAGTGGGCCCCACTCCTTTCTCTGCTTCTTGGCCACCATGTCACACACTTCTACCATGATGTACTCTGTGGTGATAGAAGGTCCAAAGCCAAGTGATCATATACTGAAAGCTCTGAAACTATGAGCCAAAATAAAGCTTTTTCCTTATTAAGTTGATTATCTCAGGTATTTTGTTATAGTAATTCAAAGTTCATACAACTTGTATCCTTTAGGTATGGTTTGAACAGGCTGAAGCAGGAAATTAATAACAACAAAAGCCAATCTCAGTGGTTCAAAGAACAAAGACTTTCTCTGTCATGCTTCATGTCTATTTAGATCAGCTAAAGGCTCTGTGTCATGTCAGTGCTGTCCTCACCTGGGATCCTGATGAGAAGTTGCCAGGCTGGTGGCAGAGGGGAAAATAAAAAAATGGGAAGAAGCATGAACTGGCATTTAAAACTTCCTTCTGGAAATGCTGCTAGCTCGTACATATCATTTGCCAAAGCAAGTCATTTGGCTACTCTGAACTTCAGGAAAGTAGGGAGGTATCCAAATGTGTGTTTGGAAGAAGGGAATTCAAATCTTTGCAAGCACCCTAATGACTACAACATCCAGGTACAATGTATTGGTGTTATAAGGTTTGAGATATAATTCTAAATTGGCTTAGATTGAGTTTCTGCTAGTAGGCAGAATGAGGGTTTGAAACTGAAATTAAATTCATAAATACAATTATAGATTTTATAGTTCTAGATTTTGGACTTGTATCTGTCCTCTTAATCATATCACAACTTCATATCACAAATGAATCAGAGCTTGCAAGATCAACAGGATTGATAAAAATGATTACCATGATGGGCCAAAGTCCAGTTCCTGTAGAACAGTGGTCACCTTACTAAGATTAGCTTCACTTAGGAGGACTGGAGGCTTGGTTGGGAGACAATAAGGAGATTGTTCCACCTCGGTGTAGGAGTTGGAACAAAAGAGCATGTTAGTCAATTTGCATTGCTGTAGGGCTGGTGGAGTGACTCAAGAGATAGAGTGCCTACCTAGTAAAGTCTAGCAAGTGTGAGGCCCTGCGTTCAAGCCGCAGTACTGCCAAAAAAAATTACATTACTGTGACAAAACACCTGACATAACTAAAAGAAGGAAAGGCTTACTTTGGCTCACAGTTTCAGAGGTTTTTAGTTCGTGGTTATTTGGTCCCATTGCTGTAGACTGTGTTGAGGCAGAGTATCATGGTGAAGAAAACAGTGTGTAGTAGAGCACAGCATGGAGGCTGGGGGCGTGGGGCCAGTGAGAGAGAGAGAGAGAGAGAGAGAACCTAAGGGTCTGGGGACAAAATATATTCTTCAGAGGAAATATGCCTGGTTCTTCAAGGCAGCACCAACCCCTAATAGCTCACTCAGCTATGATTGCCAGTAGATTAATCCATCTATGAAGCTCGTGTGCCATCAGCTGGGAACCAAGCCTTCAACACATGAGTGTTTGGTGGGGTGGCACTTCATATCCAAATTGTAACAGAGGGAGAACTGGTATCCAGTCATCCCTTGGTATCTGCAGATGATTGAATCCAGGATTCCCCACAGATGAGACAATCCATGGATGCTCAATTACCTTGTATAAAATGGTGTGGTGTTTGTATATAACCTATGTCCTCTCATATACTTTGAATTCTCTCTAGAGGTGGTTTTTATTTATTTTTTTATTTTGGTGATACTGGAGTTTGAACTCAGGGCCTTGTGCTTGCTAGCAGGAGCTCTGCCATTTCATCCATACTCCCAGCCCTCCAGATTCTTTCTAATGCCTAATAACAAGCTGGGAGTGTTGTTCAGTGGTAGCAGGCTTGCCTAGCATGCACAAGACCCTGAGTTCAATCCCTAGCGTTGAAAACAGCAAAACAACACCAAACCCTTAATGCCTATGCATCACTTCATTCCCATGGATTCGGGACAATACCTTGGTATGGCAAATTCATTTGGATTTTTTTTGGTGGGGGGGAACTCTATGATTATTTTCCAAATATTTTTAATCCACACTTGGTTCTATGTTGCAGAACCTATAGAGGGTGAGGTGTATAAGATTTTGAGAAAAGAAAGAAACTAGCAGGGCACTCAGAGCCTGAACATCACAGATGAAGTAGAAAATTTCACAAACAACATTCACTTGCTTCTAAATTTTATTTAATAATAATAACAGATTCTGTTTATGGAGGCCCTCCTGCCCGCCCATCCCACCCTCTCACTCTTTGTCAGTGCCCATACTTGCTGCTTTAATCGTGCCATCTCTGAACCGTCAGGATAACTTGTAGGTAGCTATCAGTAGCCCAGTTGAGCGAGGTTTGGCCAGCCACATTTGCAACAGTTTTAGAGTTATTGAGGCTGAAAGTCAGATGAAGGACGGTGCTGTGGATGGAGGATTCATCCCCATCAAGTTGCTATACCTGCTCTAATCCCCCGAATTCCTTCCAGAGCCTGTAGCTTTGTTTCAAGAGTGGCAAGTGCACTAAGGAGGAAGTGGAGACAGTTGGCCATCGCACTGTATAACTTGCTGAAATGTTAGTCCATCCTTAAGCAGTGCAAGACTGCAAATTTAGACTTCTCCCGGCTTCCTTGCCTCTCATTAATTTTCGTAAGGGTTGCTTGTCTTTCTTCTCTCTTGTTCAGTGCCCTTCTAATCTATTTTCCACACGGCCCTTCTTCCTGACAATTTGATTTCCAGGTTGCTAGCAGGCCTCTCCCTGGCTTTTGATTTATGTGCTCCTTCCCTGAGCCACATGTCTTTGCTGTATGGATGTGTCTTTGCTATCTTTTCAGACCTTTAAAGTCTTTAAAGACCCACACATGCTTGGCAGAATGTGCAGAAATAACACAAAATAAAAAGATCGTTCTAGGGAGCCTGGTGTCTAGCGTTTGATGAAGGCACGAAGGAAGATTTAGATCTCCTTAGGGTACAGAGAAAGAAAAGTGAAGGGCAGATTTTTTGCTTCATATGGAGTGACTTTTGAACACAATCTTGCTCTCCTGGTTGATTTCAGGTTCTACTAAGAAGACATGTCATAGCACAGTGCAGAGGTGCAATGGCAAAGATGGAGGTCTCTCTGGCATCTGGCTGATTTTCTGGTTCTGCTTTCCAACCTCCTCTTCCTCCCCATGCCTGTCTCCTGACCCCCAAAAGCCACAGGAGGTTCAAGTACCCAGGAAACAGAAAGGTTTCAGACTTTCATAGTTCATACAGCTATAGAAGCTTTTCTTTTCTTTCCTTTCCTCCCCTGCCTCCCCCGACTCCACTCTCGGCAGTACTGGAGATTGAACTCAGGGCTTTGGATTTGCTAGGCTAGCAGTTTACCTGCCACTAAAGCCACACCCCCAGTCCTCTTGCTTTTAGTTTGTTTCTATGATAGGGTCTTGTGCTTTTGCCCAGGCTGGTCTTGGTCTGTGATCCTCCCATCTCGGCCTCCTGAAACAGATTACAGGCAGCTACCAACATGCCTGGCCCTATTGATGCTTTCAAATGCCCCAGTTTTATTATTTTATATTTTATTTATAATCTAGAAGTCATTACCCAAATATCTTTTGCAAACTTAAATTTCTCTTCAAGGACCCATGCCTCAAGGTGGGTGAAAATAAATGGGTGGGGGGTGTGTCAATGAAATTAACTTCCTCTTATTCTTACTTG